TTTCCAAAAATTGTACTGAAACACATGACCTCACAAAATGGGTTAAGGTTAGAGGAGTTTATTTTTAAGAATCTACCTGAATATGTGCTTAGGTTAAAGGAGAGACAGTGTGCATTAATAATTCAAAATGCTACCGTTTATACTTGCCTAATTAAAAAAGCTCTTCGCTGCATCCGTCGAGTGGAGTGGAGTGTCTGTATGTTACTAAAGTCTCTGCATCATTAGCTTTCCTCTTCTGTTTAGAAGTGTTAACAGAGAAGCAGATACTATTGTAAATATGCCAGGACTTTGCAAGGGATAGATGGTTAAACAGACATTTATTAAGATCCTACTGTGTAGCAAGCACCAGAGTAGGTGCTGGAGGGCCCAAGATCAATGTTTTGTGGTTCCTGTCCCTGATGAGTTTATAGTGTAGAGAGAGAAACAGACCCACAGACAGGTTATCTTAATACAATTTTTAAATTAGTATTTAGGCAGAAGCATTATGAATATTTTGGGGAACAGAGCCTTGACCCTGTCTGGTAAGGTATGGTAATGCTTGAACTCAATTTTTCAAGATAAAAGCGAATCATAGAGGGTGGTCCATGCAGCTGGAATGAGGGAGCAATTTCAAGTTTTTTCAAGTCCCACTGTGGCCAATATGTTGAGTGCAAGTGTGCAGGCTGTGTGCTGAAGTCCAGCCCGTGATGTTCTGACTTGCTCTCTTAGGCTCTTCTGTAATTCATCTGCTTAGAGGAGGGACCTTTCTGTAATGTCTCCGTTGAGAATGGTTCCTTTTTGTATTTGTTCACTTAGAAGGGGCACTTACACATTTGTACAAATTATTTATAGAAATTAAGCAATTTATACAATGCTACTGTACTTTTAGCTTTGCACTGTTGATCAGAGGGTGAGACCTTCTCTTCATATCATCTCTAACTCATACATTCTATAGGCATCTAATACCCCTTACTTTCTCTTCTGGAAGCCTCCAAGCATCCTGAGCTTCCTTCCTGTAGGTAGCCAAGAGCTAGCAGATTGAGAAGTAGATGCAGAGGGTAGGTCTGCACTCTGGGCTATCTGTGGTCTAGATCGAAGTCAGTACAAACTGAAGGAAACTTGGGCAGCTGGCTGACCGCTCAAGGGAGTGATTCTCAAAAGGCAAGAGCTGAACAATTAGTTTCCAGAAAAGTCAGCTTCCAGGGACTTGTGGTCTCCCCACTTTCTTCTCCTTTGTACATGGTGTATGCCTTCCTCCCAATGGGTTGCTTCTAGAGACTCTGCCAGGGGAAAACTTCCCATGCCATAGCTCCAAATCTTTCTGTCTTCCATTGTTCTCAGGCTTTATGTTTCTGCAGTGGCTGATTCTCATCCACCTGACCCTCTGCAGCCTTGGGAGAGGGAAAAGCTCCGTGGGGTGGGGGGCGGGGAGGGGGGAGGAACAACTGGAGAAGTTCAGAGAACTAAGTTCAGAGGTGTGTATACAGACAAAAACAGATTAAAATTTGGAATTACTATATTGCCACGTGTGTATATGCTAGAAATCACTAAAAAAGAATGTTTTTGGAAATACTTAGGATGGTAGCCAGTATATACAGTCACTTGTTTTATCTGAACCGTTCATTCAGTTAAACTAAGTCTCTAAGAAATAGGTCTATAGTACTGGTAATGAACAGTGTGCAATAGAATATCAGAACTCCAGTAAAGAGATAAGCTTGGTCAGTCACTATCTTTGAAGTTGTTAGGCAAATATTAACCCCATAGATAATAAAGAATTGATAGTAGTTTAAATTGCTGTTCTACTCCTTGAGGGAGACAGACAAGAGGAGCCTTAAGAGTATTCAAAAGCCTTTGGGGCACCTGGCTGGCTCAGTCAGCAGAGCATGCGAATTTTGATCTCGGGGTCCTAAGTTTGAGCCTTTGAACTTCTTACTAGGTATCTCTAAGGAGCTCCAAGGAAAGGGTTGCACACTGGGAAACATGACTTTGAACAGAAGTGATGTGATCTTCGGGAAGTCCCAACCCAGCAAAGTCTTTTTTTTACTTAAAAGTTGGACACAAAAGTCTGATCCTTAGCCAAGAAACCCAGCAGTTGCTGTTCAGCAGCAATCAATTGGCAAGTAAAATATACATTTCAGAGAAGATATGTGCTGGGATAGAAGTATCTGAACAAATTGGAGGATGAGATCATTTGATCAGGTCTCCTGGAAGAGGTGGTTATTGACATGGAAACATGATCTAGAGCAACTGAACAACTACTGCTCCTTAGAGTAGGCCGGTTCAAAGTAATTTTTGGCACAGTGACCAAAATCCTGCAGACACTCTCCCACCACCCTCTCCACCACCTTAGGATAGTGCTTCATAGGTGCAGGCTGAAGACCCCTTGTAGCACAGGGGTCTGCACGCCTGGGGTACTGGAAAATGTCTGCTTACTAGATCCTACCCTGCATTTACAGCACTGGTATCTCTGAGATGAAATTGGAGAATCTGACTGTTCTTATAATGACCCCGAGTAATCCTCAGGTCCATTAGCACTTGAGAATCATTGGCTTAAAGAATATGGTATACTCTAGACAGTACTGAGAGGAGAACATTTAGGATCTGTTTTCCCAAAGAAACCGCAAATGTAGACTTTAAGATGCAGATATTCCATGGTAAGCAGATATCTCTTCATGAGAAACTGCAGAGCTGCACTGCTATTTCAAAACAAGAGTGGATAGAGGAGAAAAGAAGGGGAAAAAAATCTGGTATTTACATAGTAGCCTGCCTATATTTCAAGTGATAAATGTGCATAAATAAATTGCACTGAATATTAGGGTGGTATGTTGGTAAATGTGGAACCACTAGATTTTTTGGGGAAAAAAGTCCTGATTTGCAGCTTTTGCTGACTTTTGGGGTATAAATACTTGCACGTTCATCAATTTCAAGCTACCAATGAGTTAACCACTAGCAAAGTTCTTAAGATTTTAATGTCAGTTCTTATGAACCAGTATCAGCCAGCTCCACTGATTTTATATGTAAATTACTATATTTATATCTATAATTTCAAAGTTAACTTTGTAACTTATTTATTACATTGGACAGTACATAGTTTCTTTTCCATGTCCCTGCCAACATTCATATGCCCATGAATTTTTTTCCCCCTTTGCTGCTCTTTGTGCATCATTATGATTTTGATAAGCCAACATGGCCAGTACACTTTTCATTTAAATTGCTTCTCTAGAATTATACATCTTTAATGTGCTTTTGAAAAGGAACAAAGAGGCCTTATATTAGTGTCAAAAAACAATGACTACTAGACGAAGTTAAAGGTATTTTTAAAAAGTATTTATAAAACTAAGTGGCACCAATATATCAGGTACCATGTGATTCTTTTTTTTTTAATTTCTCTTTTGAAAAATAATTTGGTTCATCGACTTGGAGGATAAGGAGGTATCTGGCTCAATTGCTAGAAAACTCTAACTGTGCTTGATATTCACTGAGAAGTGGGGGCTGATGTGCTCTGGCAGCCAATGGGTCTGGCAGGGAAATATTTGTTGTATAATTTTCTGAAGAGAGGAAAGGCATGGGAGAAATCTGGGGAGTTCTTAGAACAGTATCTAAAGATATCCACATAAAATTTTTTAGAGTTGGAGAGGTTAGTGAGAAAGATAGGTATATTTTGAGGAAGTTCCTCAAGATAATTCTGACTTATTATGATACCATCTATGGGCTGCTCCCCATTTCTCTGCCCAACCCACTCTCCCTTATGAAGTACGTAGGTAGGACATAGTTAAATACTGGACTAGAGTCATGATTAATTCAGTTCTACTGAAAATTGTTATATTTAGAGGAAGTTAGGAACTAGGAATTTTACAAAGGATCATTAAATTTTTCTTCTGAGTAATTCAGCTAAAGTAATGTGGGCTAATTAGTAGGGAGGAATATTGTGATGAGACTGGTTAAAAACGTGAAATATCTGGATTATATGTTGTTAAGGACTGAATGGGGTCCCCCCCTTCACAATTTGAAGCCTTAACACTGTGTGTGACTGTATTTGAGACTAGGGCCTTTAAGGCGGTAATTAAGGTTAAATGAGGTCATAAGGAGGGGCCCTAATTGGGTAGGACTGGTCTCCTAATAAGAAGAGAAGGATAGCTTCACTACCCCACTTGCCGTCCTCCCGTACCCCCCCTCCCCAACTATCCCCATGTGCATGCACAGAAAACCCGAGAGTCCTCACCAGAACCCAACTTGTGATGCTTTGATCTTCGTGACGCCAGAACTGTGAGAAAATAGATTTCTGTTGTTTAAGCCACTCAGTTTGAGGTATTTTGTTAGGACAGCCTGAGCAGATTAATATATGTATATTATAAAATGAGGCATTTTGGTACTTTCAAGCACATAAAATAATTAAAAATGGGCCAAATATTTTTTTAACCACTATCAAAACAGTAACCGTTTATACTTATTGAATTCTGCTCTTGTTGCTTCTTCATCTTTTTTGGTCAGGCAGTCTCAGTTTCTCTGCTAGTATCAACCCATTTAATTCTCACAGGGCTATTAAGCTGGTACTCACATTATTGTTTATCCTGTGTTACAAAATGAGGAAACGAGGTACAGGAGTTTTAGGAATTTGCTCAATGCCACAGACCAAGTAAGTGGTAGGGAACCCATCATTCTGACTCAAGTCCAAGCTCTTACTCATTATGCTAGAAGAGCAATTTGTTTGTGAAATAGGATCATTTTGTGCTTATTTAAAGTTTTATCTTCCTAAATGCATGAAGCTTTTTTTTTTTTTTTTTGACCATGAAGCTACCCTTTGTACAAGTTTTTCCTGGAGGAATGGGGGTGAAGGGTAATATTAAAAATTCATCTAGGCTTTTTTAAGAATTCATCCCTCTTGACCCTTACACTTAGTGTAGCCATAGTGAGCCCCTGCTACTGATAGAGATGTGTCACATATCCCTGGAGTGCCAGGAAGGAAAATGTCTGAGAACCACTGGTTAATATCATTAGATTTTTTATTACTAATAATAATGATGGGCCTGAGTGACTCTCTAGCCCATAAGTTCTGCTTACTTGATGACACATGCAGGAGAATATGCACAAACATAATTACTTTAACAACAATGTTTTTGGATGTCCAGCAGTACATACAGGTGTGAGTAAATCCAAAAAAGTGAATCAAAATCTGTTTTCATTGAGTTTCTGTCATACTTAGAAAAGTCTAATATACCTTGGAGAAAAAAATGTTAATGTGAAGAAATATATTTCAAAGTTGAGATGGAAATAGTTTAAGGCAGGACTCTGTTGCAGTATGTGATTTTACAAAGAAATCTTACTCTCCCCAGAATAACTTAAGGTGGGTTTTAAAACAAGTATGTAATTGTGATAGGGTTCTTGTGTATATTCCTATGTGTGGGAGCATTGAGGATAAAAAGTGAAGTCAGAAATCACATGGTAAAAGAAAAGTAGCTGTTGTGCTCATCAGAGACAAGATGGTCTGTACAAATGTCCATTGCATTGGCCCTGGGAGTCTTGGTATTTTAAGGAAAATACAGTCTAATGGCTTGCATAGATCTCCCTGAAGGTATAACTCGCTTTATCACTTTGCCGTACATTTTATTGTCCAAACTCTGGTTAACATTCTGCTGGAGAACAGAAATAGTTGATTTTCTAAGAATAAATAATGATGTATCTGTAGGGTTCATTAATTTACCCTGGTGCGGGTTTTCCTTGTGGCCTTAAACGTTCCCCTACAGCTGGGTGATTGCAGTATTCCACGTGTTCTGGCTTCATAAAAAGGAAGAAAGGGCTGGTTACTGACCAGTTTTGTTTTGTTTTTTTAAGTATCTATATCTAATACACACACACACATATTTCCTGACTAAAACAAAGGGTGACTCGGTGGTCATCAAGAGCCTTCCTGTTTTTGCTATATTTGGTGTCTTCCTGCATTCTTCCCTCTGGCTCCACAGCTCCTTCAGATCCTCTGTCATGCCCATTTGCTTGACCTTTGAACCTCCCTTGGCACCTTCTCCCAGTAGTTAAGCTCCCGTCTCTGACTGTAAGATCTTCAGTATTTTTGAGGATTCTTCTTCTTTTTTTCATGGAATCACTAGGTAGTGGTTAACTTTTGGTTCCAATAATTAGAATTCCATTTATTAAAGTTATAAGTTCAAAAACTTAGTACTTCTTGAAGAGTGAGTTTTTATGTTTGGCTTACAAATCTCACTATTAGAATTTTTAAGTCTAGCAACTTGTAACCATCATTTTAAAATATTTTGGGAACAATATTTGGCATCATTTCAGACTTAATACCTTCAAATATACTTAGCTGAATTTATAGATTAAATACTATATGTTCAATATTCTTCTTAAATATTTCAATTGTGCAAAAGGAAAGACATGTCCAAAATTAAAAAAATGATCTTTCTGGAGAGTATCTCCAATTAATATGACAAACTTAAAAATACCTTCAATTTTCTTAATAATTATGCAAAATAGTATAACTTTAATTGAATGCTGTCCTGTGTCCCCTCATCCTTAAAAGCCTGCAGCTTTCTGCTTGGGTTCTACCTGGCTGTCATGTACTGGTGAGAATCTCCTTTAGAGGAAAAGCCATGTAGATACCGATATCCCTCAGTGCAGTTCCTTTCTTCGGTTTCTGCCTGGTTTTGGTCCCCCTCCATTGCTTTCAAAAAGTTGTTAAATAATTTGTACAGTTTTAATTGTTTTATGTAAGAGGGTTAGTCTGATATCAACTCCTTTGTCATTCCCTGAACTGGACTTCTTGGACCAGAAACTCTTGATAAATACAAGGAGAAGGCTGAGCACAAATAAAACATCACAGATAATTACCCAACAACAAATAACGTCTTCTTTCATAGGCAAAGGTAGAAGATTTAAAAGCAGAATTCATTCGTGTCTTGCATGATACTGATAAAGTAAAATGGTTGAAATTTTGTTGTGAGGCCAGAAAAGCTACTGACATACTAGCAAAACTGAAGGGAGGCTGCCATTTCATTTGTGTGACCAGCGGGGCTCTGGAGTTGGCAGTGGCTCAAAATTGGTCTTGAAAAACCTTGCTCTAGAACCCATGTTGTGTTTTGTTCTTCCTTAAGTGACTTAGGTACCCGACAAATAGAAGATGACTGGTTTTTCAGCCTGCAAAAAAAGAGTGGATGTGCCTTTAGCATATCAAGACACTTATGCAGAGTTTCATAACTAAGTTCTGTGAGTTTAAATTTGTGGGAGAATTTGTTATTCCATTTGAAACTTTTCTAAAATGCCTCATTAAATGCTATGGATAAAAAGTAGCAAGGAATAAGTACAAAGAAGGATGGTAGAAGAGAAGATAATTTGCAACAAAACACTACACATAAAATGTATTTGAGGGGAAACAAAGGACCAAAGAAAAGTAGGGAGCTGGGATAACTGTCTCAAACAAAAGAGTAACCACTTTTGTGAACTAATCTAAGCCAATTTGGCTGGTCAACAATGTCACATCAGATAAATAGAGAAACATGGGAGGAGGCTGCCTTCATGTTACAGGTGATATTTTATGATGAAAGCAAGTCTTAGCTAACCCCCATCTGCCTAATGTACATTTATTAGTGAACTGGAACAAACAGTCATAGAATCTGCTCTTGTTTCCTCTGGAACATTCATCTCTCTGTCCTCAGCCACTCTGATAGGTAGCTTACATGAAAGATTTAACCTGAAGCCAATGCAAGAATATTTTGATGGCAGCGTCAGCCAGCACTTACTGGGGTCAAATGAGAGTTGTCCCCAAGATGGAGTGGGCCAAGGCCCTTAGAGTGTTGGATCTCAAGTGATTCCCAATTTGGGTTTGTTGAATTTTGATGCTATCTTCCTTTAGTCTCACATACTCTCTAGCCAACCATGTGTTTCAAAAACCATTCATTTTAGCAATGAAAATTTACTGCTAAGATTTCTCTGTGATTAACAAAACTTTTTGTGAAGATTTTGATAAAATATTTGAAGTGCTTAAGTGTACTTCCTGAATGTGGATTCCTCTTTAATCTATTTCAAATGTTAACTGAATGCCCCTCCTTGAATATTTTAAAACTGGCCTATACCTGCATATAATACCTACTTACTGATGGATTTTAAAGGCCCCCCCCTTTTTTTTTTTTTGAGTACCACTGCCACTGCCACGAGGTTGGCTTCAATGCTGATGAAGCGCACAATATCGTTAAAGAGTGTATAGATGGGGTCTTGGGTGGTGAAGATTATAACCAGAACAACATCAACCAATGGACAGCAAACATAGTGGAACAATCCTTGACACATGTGGTTAAGTTGGGAAAAGCTTATAAATATATTGTGACCTGTGCAGTGGTCCAGAGGAGTGCCTATGGCTTTCACACAGCCAGCTTGTGTTTTTGGGATACTACATCTGATGGAACCTGTACCGTGAGATGGGAGAACCGAACCATGAACTGTATTGTCAATGTTTTCACCATTGCTATTGTCCTGTGACAGACTAAAAATGTTCAGCCAAAGCCATTAACTTAAAACAACAACAACAACAACAACAAAAAAACCATTTTCTACACAGATAATAAAATAACTCTTGATGACAATCAGATTTGTTCGGAATCCCTTTGCCCAAATGAATAGATTTGAATCCCCACCCATGCACTGAGGGTAGACATGGCTAATGAATAATTAACTGCTTTCTGCTTTGGTTAGATACAGAGTCACAATCTTCAGTTATCAGAAGTTTCAGTCAAGATATAACTTGTCATCCTAGCCTCAGTCTTCGTCAATTTAATTCAAAGATTGATTTTATTTCAATTTCTAGGTAATAACCAACATTCTCCATTTCACATAGTGCATCGGGAGCAGCTTCAAACAGTACACATTTGACATTTGTAGTCATTAAGCATTTGGGTTTTTTCCTAATGGGGATGGATAAAGTGGGAGGCAGGTCTGTCCTGAGTATCACAGCTTTGAGAAGTCAACATTGCAGATGATTGCTCAGGAGCTGTCGCAGCAAGAGACCACCTATGAGGAAAATAGAGATAATTACAAACAACAATCACAGCTGTTAGCAGCAGCACTCAGAACACATCCTCAGCTTGAGAAGATTGCTACTGATGCATCAGACATTGAGCCGCACTCAGTCACTGGGATGGACCCAGGGTGGAGAAAATCTAAGACAAAGCCAACACTAATAATAGCAGGAGAGGTCAAAACTGAAGTCCAGAGTTTGCCTTGCATGAGAAAGTTTTAATCATTTCAGAATTAAGGGCTAAAGGCTTAACATATTTTGCATAAGAGCTTTATTATCTAGAGGTTACTTACCAATCAACTCTGCAAGCTTTCTTACCGTACTTTAACATTTCCTATAGATGGCACTTGAATCATTATGCTTATTTTTCCCAACTGCATAAGGAGCCACTCTTCATGCAGTTACTGGGCTCTGCCATTCAGGAAACATTTCATTGCTCCTTGACAGGGACATATAATTTTCAGTAGCCTAGGTTTAGTTATGTTTGATGCTTCTCCAGAAAAATAATTATGATTTATTTAAGAATATTCATTTTTGGAAACACTTGTTCATTTTATTTCCTGTGAAGCATATTTAATATTGGGATTGTTTAATAACTGTCTTTTTTCCTCTAATTTCTTTTGCATTAATATCTTACCAAACCCACAAAATAACCAGCAACCACGACAAGTTGAGGGATACAAAAAAATAAAACACGTGTAAAAATAATAATAGCATAAGTCAAATAGATTAATTTAAATTCTGATAAAATCATTTATTGCTTTGAAATAAGCAGCATAATCGGAATATATAAAAATGTATAGAGTAAGATAATATTGCCATCACTGTTCTTCTGTGTCCCAAATCTGCATATCCTATTAACATAAATTATATATATATTCAAGCATTTGAAATGTTTATTGTCATGCACAGAAAAGATGTTTGAATTTGGCAAAGTGTTAGTAATGTGTTTGCTTAAGGGACACTGAATGCAAAAATATATTGATGAATTTTAGGTTTTGTTTGAAGTAAATGAGGGTTAGCTGGCCTGTAGTGAGAATTAGCTGGAAGTATCTATTTGAGAGACAAAAATATACAGATTAGTTGTAGCCTTGGCCATAAATGAGCTTGCAGGGAGAATGTATAGAGGAACATCTCTGATCCTAAGGCAAGCAAACAATGATGGGTGTAGATTTAGTTAACTAGAGGGGAGGGATTTTAGGGTGATTACTGTATCATTCCTGTTTTGTTTGCCTTAAAAGAAAGGTGAGGTCAGTTCCAAACTCATAGTGGTAGTTCCTTCTTAGAAGTCTGTAAAGTAGTCCCATTTCTTTTTTCAAATCTTAGTGTTTTTTTTTCCCCTCCCAAATCTGATTTTCCTCCTGTTAATGCTGATTTTGGAAGGAACTTACTGGAAAAACGTATTTTTTCCATGCTCCTGGACCCATATCACTGTGCAGCTAGGTCATTGAGTAAAGTGAAGACCATGGGAAAAACAGCACACGTTCCTTTCCTGCATCTTCCACCTGTGCCAATTAATCAACAAACTAAAGAACTTCTGAGTGTGTCCAAGTACATTCTAGGTATAAAATATTTTAAGCCTTGTGACAAATATTTTACTTGATCTGAACAATAATCCCAAAAGAAGAAAGGGAAGACATTCTTACTATTCATCACACTCTAAAAGCAGCTCATATTTATAGAGCATCTTATACTATGTAAAGTGTTTTAATACAATTTTCTCAATCCAGCCTCAAACAAATTACCATGGTATCAGGACAATTTATAAGAGAGTAAGTGTGAGTAGTTAATATTCACAAAAGTTGTTCAAGGTCACTTATGACCAAAGAAGTACAAATTAAAATTACCAGAAAACATTTTCACCTGTCAAATAATTGAGGCCATGATACACTCAATTTTGTTAAGGGCATGTGTTGGCAAAAAGGTTACCGCTGCTATAGACTGCTGGTGAACTTAGAATCTGTTATACCCTTTCTGAATGCTATTTTGGCACTAAGAATTCACTCAGGGTAAACAGGAGATAGAAACAAAGGTTTATGTTTAAATGACTACATTACAGACTTATTTCTAATACGGAATATGAGAAACCATTTATGTGGCAAATGTAATGTGAGGCAGTCATTTTGGAACATGAAGAAATCTTGCAAATGGAGACTCCATAAAGTGAAGCAAAAGTTGGAGGAAGGGAGCGGAGCAGCCAATCATCTGTAATGCCCATCCCGTGAGTTCTAGATAAGAGAAATAAAATACTTGCGTAAGGCACTATTCTTTTGGGATTCTGGCATTAGAGCCCAACCTAATTGTGGCATAGCCATACTTGCTGGCTTATGCTATGTATGAATGCATTTACTTAATATTTAAAAATAAGTTTGTGATGATGCATTGGAAGCAAAGACATTCACGCAGCTGTCCTTACCCTGTGTGCTTTAGGCCTTGAATTCTTTTTTTTGTCTGATATTAAAATCTGGCCCCTGCTTTCTTTGTTAGCATTTTCTGATGTATCTTTGACCTTTGTTTTACTTTAATCATCTAGTGGAATTTTGTTTTAGGTAGTTTCCTTGTTATCAGCATCTCACAGGATTTTGTGTTTTGACCCATTCTCCAGGTCTGTTTTTCAATTGGAAAGTTTCACACATTTGCATGAAAATATATTCATTATATATTGTGAAGTAAAACATAACAGGTTACAAAGCGATATATTTAGTATCAGCTCACATATGTAGGATTAAATCCCAAATTTGTGTGCGTGCGTGCGTGTGTGTGTGTATACATACAAACATATATCAGAAACGTAACTGCTTATTTCTGTGTGGCATGAGCTTTTTTCCTTTTGCTTATATGCATTTTGTCATGAACACATGTCACACACACAAAAAGAATTAAAGTTTTATAAGTAAGCGTTAAATAATTTGCAACCAGCTTCTAAGGGCAATGGGGGCTCCTAAACTCTTGATGGAAGAACTATTAAAAAAATGTAAACCTCAAGTTACCTCTGGATCTCTTAGCCAGAGAAATAAAACTGGCAATTATTACAGATAAAAAAAATAGGTTTTAGAAAACCTCAGTCCCTTTATTGTAAGGTGCAGAAACTGTGTTATTAGGGAAGCAGTAGGAATGAACGTATCTGGTAATCACTACCTTGGTAACCACTGCAAAGCCTATAGATACTGAAAATCTAAAGTTATTTTAAAAACTATAGAAATAAATGTCTCTGATTAAGCTGCTTAGGTAATACCCTTTATTCCGATTCTAAGACTTGATGATCCTGAGATTTCTTTTATGAGTCTATGGTTGATTTAGCAGCCACATTTATTATTTGAAGAAAGTGAGAAAGATGGTGTTAAATGTTCCTCAAAATGGAATTGAGGTTTTAATTATTACAGGACTTATGGAAGAAAGAGACACTGAACAGCTCAATTCCAAGCCTGAGAATTTTTCAGTGAATATTTAAAAATACAACAGTGTGCCTATTCAATTAGGAAGCTGTTGGTGTTCATTTCCTTTCACTGGGCAAAAATTTGGCCACTCAAGTCATTGCAGCACTTCCAAATTAATAAAGAGAAAACTTTTTGTAAAGTACTGATTAATATTCCCTTAATTTTCACTTACACAAAATCATTGCTACAAAAACTAACATTTTTGGCTATGGATGTATATCTTGTGATGTAAACTTTTTTTTTTTTAAAGATTTTATTTATTTATTTGAGAGAGAGAGAGGATGAGAGACAGAGAGCATGAGAGGGAAGAGGGTCAGAGGGAGAAGCAGACTCCCTGCCGAGCAGGAAGCCCGATGTGGGACTCGATCCCGGGACTCCAGGATCATGACCTGAGCCAAAGGCAGTCGCTTAACCAACTGAGCCACCCAGGCGCCCTTGTGATGTAAACTTTAAGGGCACCATAACAGTTAATGAAATCTGCAAAATTAAATTCAGTATACTGGGCTATAGGAAATTCTCAAGGTTCTTCTCGTTCTGAATTACTATAGTGAAGATATGAGACTTCTTGACTATTAAAACCACGTTAAAGAATACAGTGTTTCTCTTCCTCAGACACCCTCTCAGAAGACCTTTTTTTTTTTTTTTTGCAGGTGACAACCCTTCTATTTAACTTTTCAATAGCATCTTACTTTATGTCACATATTCTCCTTTCTCCCTGTCTTCCTGCCTTTCTTCTTTCTTGCCTCTTTTCCTTCTCAGTTATTGAGATTAAAATGTTGATGCTACTATGGACAAAGTGCTATATTTAGGCATCCAAGGGGGCCTAGAATACTCCCTCGAATGAATTAACGCACCTGGATGCTGGCATAGATGAGCCTGCGGGGCAGTTTGTACCTGCGAGCGTACACAGTGGAGAGCAGAGAATGCTCTGTGTCCCGAGGACATGTGGCCCCAGGGGGAGCTCTGCCTTCCTGGAAGCTGTGCCCAAGCCCGTCTGCCCTTGATTTCTGTTCTGTCCCAGCTCACTTCCTGTTCCTCGCTCCCTCTATCCCTCTCCATCCATC